CACTCAGAAACTGTCAGGCACATGTTCTTCTGACTATTTCTACTTACTTGTATCTTCCCCTTATATAGTGAAGGAAATGTGACAACTGTGCCTTATTTTCTTGTGTCTACAAGCCCTCAGGGCACATGTGTTCAGGAACTTCTGTTTGGTACACTTAAATATATCTCTTTGCTACTTACTTTAAAGAATAGGAAATACAGAAACTATCAGAGCATGTCAAACTATATTTTTTTATGTACAATACACAGGCAGTCCAAAGGTAGATGCAGGTCCAGATAAAAATATTTTTCTTTTTAAATTAGCCACTAAACACATTAAATTTTAATGTACACCTATAATTTTATAACTCTTAGGGAGAACCAACAAAAGTATATTACTTGGCCACCTCCAAAATAAGTCATTTGTCATTTTAAAGTTATCATTCATTTATTAGCAACATTTGCTTGGGTGGTGATTAAGAAAGCATTCTAGGGGAGATGGATAAAGGAGAAATACTTTTTTTTAAAAGCTAAGTAACATTATGTTTTCTGAGAAATCATATTTTTATTAGAGTTTGTTAACATAATGTATCTGAAAGATCTAGATTATTCTGTAAGGTTTTATAAAACATTTTCTGTGGAAAAGATTGATGTCTATTTTGTATTTTATTTATTTTATATACAAGAAGGATAACATGAAAGTTATTGTATGCTAAATAATATTATATAATTTTCTCAAAGAATGATACCTTAAAGTAAAATGTTGGAAGATATTACGTACACTTACTATTTATTTGTAATATAAGTTCTGCCTGATTTGCGAAAAGACTGGATGATTCACAATCAAATTATGTATAAAACAAGAAACAGAATGCAGTATCAAAGACTTAGAATGAGGTTAATATTGCAGTTAAGCATTAAAGTTTCTGATAATTAAGGAAAAATGTGGGTACAAGCTGTAGGACTTGGTTGTCTAAGAAATATTAGAAATCAACAGAATACATATATTTTTTACAAGTTATATTATTTATATAAATTTTATATAATTTATAAAAATTATATAAGAATACATACTTATTTCTAAATTCCAATATAAATTAATTTATTGTATATATCTATATGCAAGGGACAATCATTTCACAAGAGACAATATTTTCAAGAGTGGTCTTGCAGATGTGAAAATAGGCTTTTGGGTTGCCAGTTGGGCAGGTTCAAATTTGTTCTCATACACACAAAAAAATATGAATTTATGTAAGTGTCTGGACAGGCACTCAAGTAAAACCCCAGAGTTTTGAAACATAGAGCAATATAGTCTTAGGTTTGGAAAATGTTTAAAGCAGATGCATTTAAATACAAAAGAATCTCAATATAGTAGAAATCTAATTATTGATGTCATAATCAATGTTCTAGAAAGCTGATAAATAATAACAGTAGTGGCTGACAGACCTACACAGAAATTACAAAATGAGTCTCCAAGAACCTCCACTAATTGTCAAATTAGATAAAAATTTTTCTATTAAGAAATTGAAAACTGGAATATATCTGTCCCAAACCATGAATTGAGTTTTGCCATGATAGTCATGTTTTATGTTGAGTTGGATATTTTCTTTTTTCTGTTCTTTTTGTTGTTGTTGTTATTTCTTTCACTCTTTTACTTGCTTTTTTCTCCTTTTTGATATTTCTTACTGAGAATTATCTAAGAGATTTGGCTACTTATAAGGCTCCTGATTCATGATACTAAAACCTTCTGATCAACATTGAGAAAAGTACTGATTTTACTTTGCAACATTAAATACGTATGCATTAAATGTACCTAAAAATGAAACTGAAGGATTTTACATATGTTAAATAGAGAAAGATCTAATCCATATACCATTTCAACTTGGAATTTAATCTGTGAATGACTGTTTTCTTTCTGGTTATAGCAGCCTTGTTATGATGATATAAGATGATACAAGTTGAATCTTCAGCAGGTCAGAAACATGATCAATGCAAAGTCATATAGTTTGGCTTATGTCATTGAAATCAAAGGTTAATGACAGATTGTCAAACACTAAAGAATCTAACATCTTTCATAATTACCCACAGTGAAATGAATTATAGTGTACCAGTGATCAGTGGTTCAATCGATGGGATGAAAACATGTATGCTCTTAAAACAGAAATAGACTCATAGATACAGAGAACAAACTGATGGTTGCTAGATGGGAGGGGGTGTGGGGGATGGGTGAGAGGTGAAGGGATTAGGAAGTTGGTAGTCACAAAATAGTCACCGGGATGTGAAATACAGTATAGGGACTCTAATCAATAATGTTGTAAAGGCTATTAGGGTATCAGATGGGTACTGGACTTATAGGGGGAATAACTTTATAGATTATATAAATACCTAACCACTGTGCTGTACACCTGAAACTAATATAAAATAATATTGACTGTCAACTGTAATTTTATATATATGTATATGTATATATATAATTCACATGGTGTAGAGTACAGCATAGGAAATATAGTCAATGGTATTGTAATAGCTGTGTGTGGTGTCAGAGAGGTAGTGAACTTGGTGGGGTGATCACTTTGTGAAGGGCGTAAGTGTCCAATCATTATGTTGTTTTGTACACCTGAAACTAATAATAATAATAGAAAGGAAAACATGTATGCTCTTACCAAAAAGCATTAGATTGAGAGAACCAGATCTAAGGCTTTTTGAGGGAACAGATTGGAATTTTAAGAGCTAGAATTTTAAAAGCTGGCGTTTTGATGAAAGAAGAACTAAATCTGTCCTTAGAGAACTTTCAGGAGAAAATTCTTTAATAACCAAGGGTAGCAAAGACTGAAACTCACCACTCAGGTCCATAACTAACATTTCTGGTGGCACAAGATCTCTTAGCTTTCCCCCCCCCCAACTGTATATCTTAATTGGGAAGAATATTGGGGCCCTGTAATATGTAGCATAATAGCGATGATATGATAAAGTCAAGTGAAATATCTCATTCTTATATAAATAGTAACTTAAACTTCTTGTATTTCTTTTTAACAATCCATATTACACGTACCTGTACCCTCGTTCATACTGGCATTTGTGTTTAGCCCTAACATCAAGATTCCATTGCAATTTACTATAAACTGTGAATCGATATTTTGTACTTTTTGAAAAACTTACCCAGGAATTTTCTTGCTTACATCATCAAGCTAGGCTTTTGGGACAGGGAGAGGGAGAAGAGTTTAGGTAGCTTCTTAGCTTACTTATCAAACCAGAAGATTGTACAGCGGACCCCCAGCTATTTGGCAATTTAGGGTTTATGATCTTTTGCAATATAGAGAGAGGGGAGTCTTTCCCATTACACAGTAGGAATGGAATGCTGAAATTCCTGGTACCTCACAGTTTCTTTTTATAGATTTGGAGGGGGGAGGGATTTGTTTCTATCTCAGCTTTCTCCTTTAATCCCACATTCACAGTTTTCAGAGGGATTTAGGTAAAAATAATATACATCTGGAAGAAGTAATTAAAGGAAGCTGTCATCACTTTTAACTATGTCATAATACCATTTTGAAGAGTGGAGATAATCTGTGATCCCAAATCACTGATTAGGAATTTAAATGAAGTTTACCATGAATGGGTGGTATTTTAATACTATCATGTTGTGATTTTAAGTGAGTGTGGCCAAATAGTGTCTCCTTTGATTCCAGCAGCTTTTCCATAAAGCAAAAGGAAATTTTTCCAAGTCACATGACAAAGTAGCTTTGTCAGAGCAACCCAGCTTGAAATCTCCTAAAATGGTTATCACTCATTAGATGGTTAGACTATGTACATTTCAAAAGTGCAACAAATTAGAAAGTGATATCTGATTAATCTGCGTGCATTTTTAAGGAGTATTATCTGAGTCTTATCAGGAAGTCAGATGATGAATTTTGGATTATAAATTCACTTTATTTGTGCCTCTGATATTAATTGAAATTAGTATGGCCAGCCAGCCCTTTCTTCTTCGAAAATTAGTTTTTATTGATTAAATAAAAAGAAAGAATACAAAACTCTGAAGCATTAAACACTAAGGAGCTCACTTTTTGAATGTCTGGTCACTTGAAAACAAATCATCTTAACATTTTAAGTGGATGATTACCAAGTTAACATTCTCCTCATTTAGGCATTGGTTTTTATGTTCAAGATGAGGGTTTTTAGTCACTGAGAAGTCTTTTCCAGAGATCCCTATGGGAAAAAAATGCCAACTTTATCTAGGAGCTTTGGGTGCTCATATTTTTTTATTTACTTTGAATATCTGTAGCTCGAGCTCCCAGAGTTAAACATGAGCTAAAGTGAAAACCTAATTATTTCTTAAATCCTTTTGGAGATGTTAATAAACATGGCATCATGTAAGATTTATACCATGATAAAATACCATTCCCTCTTAATCTATAGATAGATTTTAGAAAAGTTTGTTGAAAATTAAGTCAAAACTATCTTTCTTTTAATACACAGTATCCAGAAAAACAGTCCACCTCTGGTTTGAATTGAACACCTTTGAAACTGAAAGGGCTAATATGATGGCCATTGTTTTTTCTAGGTTTCATGGAGATTTCTGTTTTTAAACGAGTACTTGGAGTAATTTTCCATAATCCAGCATTTCCCCTCAGCCCTTTTCCCACATTTTTTCTACCCTGCACATTTCTCATACTGCAGGATTCCTTGACTCTACTGAACACTTAACATCATATGTCAATGAAAGTTCTCTAAGATATGTCATTAAATGCCAAACACAAATTTTTAAGAGTGTATGTTGATTGATAGAGATCTTATATTAAAAGAGTAGATATGCCCCCCCCCAAAAAAATCTGTAAAAACCAAAACCAACGTGTTAACAATGGCTACCTCTTGATACTAAAAGTAGTAAAAAGTTGGACACTTTTTTTTTTTTTTTACTATAGCTAACCACTGAGTTTGCTATAAATTTGTTCTATCTTGGTACTACTAATATCAGATCAGATTTCCCCAAAGTGATGGCGACTATTTTTCCTCTTCCAATCACAGGCGAGGTCACAGGGTATTGAAGAATGGCAGATGATCGGAAAGATGACGCAAAGGCACCTCACTGGACCTCAGCTCAACTAGGGGAGGCTTCGGCACACCCACATCCTCCTGAGATTAAGGATCAGGGCGGGGCAGGGGAAGGACTTGTCAGAAGTGCCAACGGATTCCCATACAGGGAGGATGAAGAGGGGGCCTTTGGAGAACATGGGTCACAGAGCACTTATTCAAACACCAAAGAGAATGGGATCAATGGAGAGCTGACCTCAGCTGACAGAGAAACAGCAGGTAAGTAAGGGCTCTTCTGTGGCCAGTGCTTGCTTTGTGCTTTGAAGTCTGTTTAGTTTGAAAGTGAATTAATTTACAGCTCTGATCCTGTTTCACTAGTGCTAGGACTGAAATTTTGTCAGTCAGGGAAAACAGACAAATAAAGGAGAAAAAAAATATCATGGGAGCTAGCACGACATTCCCCCAAATTAGTTGTGTTCTCAATCTCATCACCCTATTTAGTTTTTACCACTTTAATAAATAAATGGCTCAACATATGTCTGTTTGCTAGTAACTGTCAGCATTTTAACTCATTAAAAGAAAACTTCACAAATAGTTTGCTATTGATTCTCTTGAATGATATTGAACCTAAATCTGATTGACTAATTAGAAGCATCATATTTACTTTTTAGGGCAGAAAGGGATGTAGAGTCCATCTCCCAGCCTTTAAAAAGAAAAAAAAAAAAGAAAAGAGAAAGAAAACTAACACACACAAACACACAGGAACCATTTCATACTTCCTCAAATAGCTTTTTAAGACCTAATATTCAGATACTTGAAAGAGAACAGAATATAACTTACTCTTAAGTACTTCCTTCCTTTCAAAGTGTAATTTCTACTGATAGTCTTCTTTACTCTATCATTGATGATATTGTTATTAGTGGCCTAGTTATTATGTATCATTATTGGCGTAGAGAAACACTAGCCTGCTCTATAATATTCTTTATCATTATTTTCATTTTTCCTGAAATTTGGAATTTAATGCATTTGAGCACAGTAACTTGCAGACATGCCAATCCAAACAGGGTAAATAAACTGTAAGTAGTAAGAAAGGGTATATCCCCTTCAAAATGATCCCTTACTTATTCAATGATTGGTTTTCTACACTCCACCAGTTGGTTAGCAACACTCGTCGATTGTACACTCTGTTCAAAAAATATATTTAAATTTTAATGGGGAAATGTAAAAGGCATTTCAAATGACTGAGGAAAAATTATGTAAGGACGTAGTGTAATTTTTTTTTTTAATCCACACATTCCACAAAGTAGTGCTGAGCATTTTCTATGTAGTACAAAGTGTTTTAGCTTCTGTGCCAGGGTGTGTGCAAAGAACGGTTTCGGAAAATCACAGCAGGTGATCTAGAAGCAGACACAAGACCTGTCCATACAGTTAATCCAAATACAAAACACCATGTGTTAAGTTCCACATGAGCAGTACAGAAAGACACAGTTGGACTGGGATTGTTTCTGCTTTGGGCCAAAGTTCCCAAATTGAACACAAAAGCATCTTGGGGTGCCACAGCAAACTCACAAGGGCTGTGGCAGAATATTATAAATACTCAAAGAAAACACAGCGATAGTCAACATCTGTTAAACACTGCATGAACTGTTATCTCGAGATAGTTCACAGTTTCAACATTAGGTCGCATTACATTCCTTTTCAAGATGTGGTATCTTAGTGACGTTGGGTTTTCGCAGTTGCTGTGATTCAATGCAAGTACCCTGCAGAAATCCATTGTAACAAGAAAAGAGGGTGGCAGTGTCCACCCTAATTCAAGGATTTGAGAAGTTGTGTAGTGCTCCACAGGCACATATGTCATATTAGTAAGAAACTGTAGTTAAAAATGAAATAAAAATACTATTTTTACCTTTCATGGTTACAATGAGGATTAATTGAAATTAAGTGTAAAAAATGAAGGGTTTAAGAAATACTGTCTAGTAATTGCTATTATTATTATTATTATTATTATTATTATTATTATTATTAGTGGTGGTAGTGGTTTCAATACAGGAGGGCACTCTTGATCAAGGAATATTTTTCTATTGCCAAGTATAATACAGTTTGTAGGGGGTGGGATTTAGATGTCAGAAACATTAACTAGGAAGATTTTGAAGGGATCGAGGCATGAGGCAATAGGACTTGTTAGAGCAAAATGGATGTGGGGAAGGAAAGAGGTAATGTGGTAGACCAAGATTTTTCTCATCATATCCTGTAGCACCTGATATTATACCTCAAGTACTCAATACATGTGTATTGAATGAGTAAATGAATGAATGAAGGAAGAAATGAATGCAAAAGAAAAAAGAAAGTTGTGTTTTTTGGGGGTTTTTTCCAATTAATGGTGAAAGCTATGGAAAAGTCTTCTTTTTTGTCTCTTGGACTCTCACCAGTTGACTGTCACTATTATGCAGGCTTATGATACAAGAAAAAATACATGATAGCGTGTTTGGTCAAACATTGGACAACCAACTCACTCACTATTTCATTTTTCCAATGGTCTTAATTAAGTATTTAAGAGCATCTGAAAAATCTATTTGCCAGGTCAGTGTGTCCTCGCCAGTTCCTTTCAGAAAATAATACAAATTTAAAAAGAGGCTAATAGATGTTTCTTTTAAATTATGGGTTCAGGAGCATCCAATGTTAATTTTGAATTCAGCTCAACATGTATCATATCAATTTTATATTACCTTTGGGATACTGATTATGAAAGTTTATATGCATATTCATAGTGACAGTGTAAACAGCCAGCTGTGGGTTACCAGAGTGATGTGTTCAGTTCAAACTATCGTGTGAAATAACTGACCAAGTATTGAGTCATAAAATATCCATGTGTGGTAAACTATGGGAAAAGGAAAATGTAAAACATGGTCTCCTCATACCTACAGAGAATGTTCCAGTGATAAGTTAATGTGCAATTAAATTTCTCTTCAAACTTTAGCTTAATAAATTTTATTGATGGTTTATATGCAACTGTTGTACAAATTACAAACAAAAATCATCCCTGGTAAAAAGTAGTGTCCTTAGTTCTCATATGGTCTTGAAAAATGCTGTCCTTTAATGATGGAAACTACTGATATGAGCTGGCATTGTGTTTTGAGGTGATTATCTTAAAGAGGGCCAGGGAGCTATATTCTAGCCCACTCTTTAAACATTCACATATAATCTATCTGTATATTGTATTTTCCCCTATAAAGGTTATTTCTTGAAGCATTGTTACCATGATATTTCCCAATACCATCAAGTCCTCAGCAATATGTTGTGGTGTCCAGGCCATTACTAGTTGAAATCAAAGATCTTTCTTCTGTGTTCCTTCTTTGCTATAGTCCTCACTTCATTTTTAGAAAGAAATCTTTCCCCCAAGGTTATTTATTTTTATTTATCTCTATAATCAAGATCGCATAATAAATGAATTGCAATCATCATCCCTCTTCCCCCCTCCCCCTTTCCTTCCTTCATCTGAATGGGCTTACTTCAACCAAAGGTTTTACCTCATTTTCTCCTACCCACACTTTTCAATGTTCCCTTTCATTTCTGGGCCATAATAATTTTTAATTTTTAAAGATGGAAGCCCATAGCTTATCTTTGATCTTATGCACTGGGATTTGGGAATGGGGCAGGGACAGCTATAAGGCAATACTATTTTAAAATTGTATTTCCTTACAGCTTATACGTTTAGATTTTGTCTCTTTCCTTACAATTTAAAGATAATATGTAGAAAGGTAGATAGAATTATTTGCTCCCTATTATGGTATAACTTTTGATACTTTAAGAATATTTCTTACATGTATTCATTAAAGTGCCCCTTTTAAAAGCCACATCACAGAAGCTTGGAGAATCTAGCCACTTAGGAAAGTTACTGTGGTAATAAGACTAAAGCAGTCATTTTAACATTGTTTTCAAAAGCATGAATCTTAGGAGTCAAGGCTTTTAATAAATCCTTCCTCCCTTTTTCACCTTAACTTTATTGAAGGAAGCAACAGGCGTGTATCTTGGTCCCCACAGAGTTCCAACTCTCAGTGAAAATTAGGAGCCTCATCTTTAAAAATTAGTTTCTTATCCGAGGGTGGGGCCCAAACTCATATTAGAATCCATATCAAGATAACATGAAAATAACTGAAAGGTTCAGTCAGATGACCTTTCACAGTCCTCTTCACAGGTTTAGTCACCCATCCAAGACCCCATGACTGTAGCCCGAAGGCAGGTCTCCTGCTGTATAGACTGGTCAGTGCCCTTTCCACTACCCCTTGTCACTAGATTCAGAACAGCACGGCCAGCTGCCCCAGCTATCGATTATAGCCAAAAAACGGTGACCCTTTTATGGCAGAACTGCCACACCCATGTACCTTGAAGCGTGACAGAAAATCATAACTTTAACCTCTGTTTTCAGTATGAATGGAGAAGAAAGGAGGCAATTTTGAAAAGTTTATAGATGCCAAAACATTAAAGTATTTAATTAAAGTCATGCTTCAGTGATTTTGACTCTCTTAAGGTACAGAGCTTCGCACACTGGTAATAAACACTAGACAGGGTATAAAGTGCCTTCATGACCATCAAAAGCGAGTGCCAGCTATCTCTTTGAGTACATGTAAAGATGAAAGGGAATCCCATTTCCAGGACTGCTTTGTGTCCCCATTTCTGGGAATTCTATCCAGACCTACGCCCTGCCAAAGCAATGAGATCGTGAAAGCTCTTCCAGGTTATCCGTTGTCGCTTTTCCAAGTTTACCAATGGAGCTGTGCCTTCTAAAGCCTTGGCCTGCACTTAAATATCCGCATAACTCAAGGAGCCAAGTGGTGAATGTACTCAGGTATATAAGTTTATTGTTGCTGAAATGATAAATTTAAGCTCGAAAATGCACGATGGAGGGAAAGCTTGTCATCATTCACATGCGAAAGACTGGACCTTTAAGCGGCTCTCTGTTTCTCTTTTCAATCGTAGAATATTAGAACCTGCCTTTTCTTACCTCTCCCATTCTCCTCTGCTAATTTTCTTAGATTTGAGATTTACTAGTAAGAGTCATCATTTTATTTAAAATACAGCATATCATCTATAATATTATATTAATGTACGTAGAACAAATTAGTACAGAGCCATTTCTCCTGCGAAGAAACTAAAGCTCTCTGCACCACCCCCCCCAAGGCAAATAAACAAGCTGGCTTAACAATACAAGAGGTTGCAGATTTTCTTTTCCTGTTGCCATGCCAACCACTCATTGCTCCGGCTGCCATTTCCCTGAGCTC